TCCAAACAAATGTAACTTACATATTAAAAAGTCATACTTTGCATACACACACACACACAGAAACACACACATATAATGAATTCTTACCTCTTTAAATAATTGAACCAAATGAATCTCATGCGCAAACACCATGACAACACGGGCTGTTGATGTTTTTATCAAATTCACAATCCCTCGAAGTTTGCCTGGATCACTGTCCCAGGGTAAGACCTCCACATAGGCCAAACAGCCCCCACCAGATGTTGCCAGATCAGATTGGAAAGATCGGGCAACATGAAGTCCATAATCATCATCACTGACCAGAAGACCTACCCATGTCCAGCCAAAGTATTTCAGAATCTGAATCATAGCATGCACCTGAGTGGAGAAAAACAGCACCGAAAGACTGTGAAATATGCAGATAAATACATTCTTTAATCAGATTTAGTCTTGAATAAAACTACATCTTTGATATATTACGTCTATTTTCTTAAAACATTGTATTGCATGTTTGTGGTCAATTTGTCAGAATAACTAAAATATTAGACTTTTATCACAAGGAGACAGTTTTCAAGTATGACGTCTGTGTGTGCCTGACCTGGAAGGCATCACTTGGGATTGTTCTGAAAAAGGATGGAAACCGCTGGCGATCACTCAGGCAGGAACATGTGGAATAATAACTCACCTAACAGGAGTAAACATCCTTTGTCATACACACGTTACATAACTGATGATCATATTTGAGCAAAGACCAGTAAAACAAACATTATATAATATAGGAATTTAAGAATTTTAAGACATCAATTTGAAATTATTAATCATACTTACAATGGGCATCTTGTATAAACCAAGCACACTGGACATGGCAATAGAAAAAGTTGAATAGGAGTCACCAACAACACCCAGGACAGGGGGCTTCCCTACACAGTTCTCCTGAAGCAGAAACTGCTTATCTCGTCCACTGACCAGTGATAATGCACCAGTGAATCCAAGAACAAGTGCGCCACAGTTATCATAAAAACTGTATCCCAGGGTCACATTTGGCAGCAGGTTGTTATTCTTGTTGATCTCTTCAATAGCAAAAGCCATGGTCATGGCATACCTGAATCCTGGAACGTCAAAGCTAACACATAAAATATCAGTTTTCCACTGTAAAGTTAAAACATGTTCACATAACACTGTGTAAAATGTTGATAACACAAGAATATTCCCATTGTGTAAGAATGAGCATTAGTACCATTTTTAGTGGTGTCATTTTTTCTTAATTAAAATCACAATTGAAAATCTAGTTTCAAAATCAAATGTATTTAATCTGCTGCATGTGTGAGATACTTACTCTTTGCAGGTGGGCTGTTGTGGTTCTGAGGTAAATGTGTGCTCAGGAAAAGAAGAGGTGTGGTGGAAACCAAATAAGCCCCCAAGAACCAGATCACCAGACTTTTGGATTTCATTCAGATTAAAAATCCTCCATAATTTACAAAGCGAATCAAGAGATGACACAGAGAATAGAGAAGAGACAATTAAGAGCAAACAAGCACCAAGGATAACCGCCATAGCTGTCCTCCTCCCCTTTCACTATCTCATAGTCTTCATTTGATGTTGGCTGATTTTATATTCAGGACTTTGTCATCACTTTTGCATATGCTCCACCAGTGTTTACTTTTCACACACCCTGTAAGGGCAATGATTATAGAGGAAGGGCATAACAAGGATGTGTTTGATTTAGTTGATTTATGATCTTCAAATTGCATAATTTAAGACTTTCCATCAATATTTCAGGAAAAAAGACCACATGATGTGGTATTGTATACTCGAGAGTTTGTTTGATATTTATGTTCTGGTTTTCTCTTTGAAAAATTCAGCCAGTACACACCTGTTTTGAGAAATGTTGGAAATGTTTCAGGATTTAATAAGATACAGTGGCTTGAATATAACAATTTCAGTTCTAAACGGATTCCAGATGTCAACCCTAAAAGTAACACATAAACAATAGCATAGAATGTGAATGAATAATCACAGATGATTTATGGGTGTTTTTGTGACTCACCATTTATCATGCACTGCCAAAACCAATTACGAACAAAAACAAAAACTAAACATTAATAAGGGGGACGTTTAAGCGGATATTTCTAAAGAGCCTGGTAATGTTTACAGATTCCTTCAATTTATGTACAGTTCTGTCTTATTTCAGTCATTTTGTGCAACATGGTTAAACTGTGCTCAGTCCTTGATGAAAGGTGTTGAGATGGAGGGATATGGCAATGTCATCATATTAAAAAAACTATATATATATATAATTATATATATGTATGTTTATTGCAGATTATTGCTTTCATGATTTGGTTGTGCCTCGACCCATTATGGCTTTCTTGGTGTTCCTCTCAGGTCTCAGCAGGATTATGTAACATTTGGGTCCAAACAGTGCCAACAAGAGACCAAAGCTGGAAGTTAGGATGGCAAATACCTCCACTGCATCTGCATATTTTCCTGGAGAATTGATATAAGCAGGAACAAA